ATCAACACATCACCATCACCATACCCTCCATTCACAAAAATTCCTACTCACCATAACACCCTCAATACAAAAAAAACACAAAACAACAAACCTAACAACCTCTAACTCATCCTATCACACACCCTCCCCCCTCTAACACACACCCCTTCCCTTCCCCCCCAACCTCCCTCTCCTACCACTCCCCTTCCCTCTCACTTTCCCCTTTCCTCCTCCCTATCCTCTCCCCCCCCCCTCTCCTCCCCCCCCTCACTTTCCTCTTCGCCCTTCATCGATGGCAGTCCAAGCCGTCGCGTGCCGCTCCGCTTCCCGCCGGGAACGCGCGCGGAAGTTGACGTGCCGGCAGGGCAGAACCGACGGACAAAGAACTGAACGAAGAACAGGAGGAGAACAAGCCGAGAAGGCGAATGGGAGAAGAGAGAACAAACCGAAAGAAGGAATGAAGAAGAGAAGAACAAACCGAAGAAGGGATATGGAAGAACAGAAGAACAAGCCGAAGAAGGAATGAAGAACAGAGAACAATATCGAAGAAGGATGAATGAAGAACAGAAGAACAAACCGAAGAAGGAACGAAGAAGAGAAGAACAAACCGAAGAAGGAATGAAGAAACAGAGAAGAACCAAACCGAAGAGGGATATGAAGAAGAGAGAACCAAAACCGAAGAAGGAATGAAGAAGAGAAGAACAAAACCGAAGAAGAATGAAGAGCAGAAGAACAAACCGAAGACAGGAATGAGAGAGAAGAACAAACCGAAGAAGGGATGGTGGGCGAAGGGAAACAAGCAAGAACAAAAGGAGAACGGAAAGCGAAGAGGAAGAAAAGAAGGAAATTGACGGGACGAACGAACGAAAGCACACAGAAGGAACAAACGAAGAAAGAATAAGAACAGAAGAACAAACCGAAGAAGGAATGGTGGGCGAAGGACAAGCAAGAACAAAAGGGAGAAACGAAAGCGAAGAGGAAGAAAAGAAGGAATGACGGACCGAAACGAACGAAGAACAGAAGAACAAACGAAGAAGGAATGAAGAAACAGAAGAACAACCGAAGAAGGAATGGTGGACGAAGGGACGAGCAAAAAGCAAACGGATTGAGAACGAAAGCGAAGAGGAAGAAAAGAAGGAATGGACGGACGGAAACGGAACGACGGCTGGAAACGAAAGAAAACAAAAAAGATAGAAAGGAAAGAACGAACGAACGAAAGAACGAACGAATAACCTTGACTCATCTATTGCTCCTCCCCCCCCTCCCTTCCCTTCCCCCCTCCCTCCCTCTCCCCTCCCCCTCCCTCCTCCCACCTCCGTCCTTCCGTCGTGAGTCAGGGCTGGGGTCGGTGAGCCGACACATTCTGCTCATCGCAAGTGTTACGGGAGAGGGAGAGGGAGAGAGGGAGAGGGAGAGGGAGACGGAAAGAGGGGAGGGAGAAGGGGAGGGCGGAGAGGAGGATGAGGGAAGAAGGGAAGGGGTAGAGGAGGAGGGAGAGGGAGGGACGGGGAGGGAGAGTGAGAGAGTGGGAGTTAGGTTGAGAGGGCGAGGGAGGGAGAGGGAGAGGAGAGGGGAGAGGGAAGAGGGAGAGGGAGAGAGAGGAGGGAGAGGGAGAGGAGTGTTATTATATTATTGTTGGTTGGTGTTGTTGTTGTGTTATCACATCATCCATTGATTTCATTATTATTATTATTAATGTTATATTATTATTTAATTATTATTATTATTATTATTATTCATTATTATTGTATCATCATTATTATATTATTATTATTATTAGTATTATTATTATTATTATTATTATTATTATATTATTATTGTCTTTTTTCCTTTTTTCTTTTTCTCTCTTTTATTTTTACCTTTTCACTTTTTTGTTATCGTTTCCGCCGTCATCCGTGCTGGCGGCCCGCTAACGTTCAGTGCGTCGGTTTCTCTCGCGGCGACAACAGCTCCGTGACGGATTGAAGGCGAGGTGGAGCGTCGCCCTCCCTCTCCTCCCTGCTTTATTCCGTGTTCTCCTTCTCCCCTTTCGTGTTTTTTGTTTCTTTTCTTCTCCTCTTTCGTTTTTTTTTCTATCTCTTGTTTATCTTCCTTCTTTATTTCGTGTTCTTCTTTCCACTTTCTGTTTTTTTTCTTCTCGTTTCCTCCTTTATTCGTGTTTTCTTCTCCTGGTTCTTCTCTTGGTTTATCTTCCTCACTTCTTTATTCGTGTTCTTCCTTCTCCCCTTTCGTTTTTTTTTCTTCTTCGTTTTCTTCTTTATTCGTGTTTCTTCCTTCTCCCCTTTCGTTTTATTTTCTTCGTTTCCTTCTTTATTCTGATGTCTTCCTTCTCCTTTTTGGTCTTTTTTTCTTCTTTCTTGGTTTTATCTTGCCTCACTTTCTTTATTCGTGTTCTTCTCCTCCCCTTTCTTTTTTTTTCTTCGCTTCCCCTTTATCTGTGTTTTTCCTTCTCCCTTTCGTTCTTTTTTCTTTTTTTCTTCGCTTCCTCCTTTATTTCGGTTCGTCCTTCTCCCCTTTCGTTGTTTTTTTCTTCTCTGAGGTTTATCTTCCTCCACTTCCTTTGTCTGTGTTTTTCCTTCTCCCTTTCGCTTTTTCTTCTTCGTTTTCTTCTTTATTCGTGTTCTTCTTTTCTCCTTTTTATTTTTTTTATTCGTGTTCTACCTTCCCCTTTTTATTTTCTTCTTCTCTTGGTTTATCTTTTTTTTTCTTTATTTGTGTTTTTCGTTTTCCTTTTCATTCTTTTTCTTTTCTTGTCTTGTTCTTTATCTGTGTTCTCTTCTCTTGTTCTTTATCTTGTGTTCTTCTCTTCTCTTCCCTTCTCCTTTATCTACGTCCCTCCTTCTCCTCTCCTGTCCTCTTCCGCTTTCCTTTATCCGCTTTCCTTCCTCCTTTTTTTTCTTCTCTTTTCTTCTCCTCTTCCGCTTTCCTTTATCCGTGTCCCTCCTTCTCCCCTTTCACCCTTCTCCTCTTCTCTTCTCTTCCGCTTTCCTTCCTCCTTTTTTTATTCTCTCTCTCTTCTTCTCCTCTTCCTCGCCCATCTCCCGGACGGAAGAGGGAGACAACGAGGCGCGCCGAGTGAAGTGAAAAGTGAAGTGAAGTGAAGTGAAGTGACTTTTTTCCTCCTCCTCCTTCTTCTTCTTCTTCTTTCTTCTTCTTCTTCTTCTTCTTCTTCTTCTTCTTTCTTCTTCTGCTTCTTCTTCTTCTTCTTCGTTTCGCGTGGCGGTCTTCCGCGGCTCGCTCTGGGGAGGAACGGTAGTGCTCGGGTAGTTCGTGGGTTGGGTGGGTGGGTTGGGGTGTGGTTTGTTTGTTTGTGTTTGTGCTGCGTTTGTTTGTGTTTGTGCTGCGTTTGTTTGTTTGTGTTACGTCTGTGTTTGTGCTGGGTTTGTTTGTGTTACGTCTGTGTTTGTGCTGTGTTTATTTGTTTGTGTTTTTGGTTTGTGTTTGTGTGCGTTTGTTTGGAGATGTGCTTCGTTAGTGTGCCGGTATTTTGTTTTTGTTTTTGTTTTGAGTTTTCAGAACAGTGTGTGTGTTACCATCATAAGTGTCTGTCTGTTTGCGTATGTGCGTATAAACACATATTTAGTGGACGTGTGTCTTTCAGAGAAATATAATCATATAAGTACACACATGTAGATATTTTCCACTTACACATCGATAATATTAAGGAAAAAGAGAGTTTGAAGGAGAAGGAGGAACGTAGATAAAGGGGAGGGGAAGAGAAATAAAGGATGAAAGAGAAGAGAACAGGAGAAGAATGAAAGGGAGAAGGAAGGACGCAGATAAAGGAGAGGGGAAGAGAAGAGAGAGAAAGAGAAGAGAAACGGAGAGAAGAAAGGAAAAGGAGTCGCAGATAAAGGAGAGGGAAGAGAAGAAAGGAAGGAGAAGGAAGGACAAGATAAGGAGAGGGAAGAGAAGAAAGGAAGGGAGAAGGAGGACAAGATAAAGAGAGGGGAAGAGAAGAGAAGGACGAAAGGAAGAGAACAGGAAGAAGAAGAAAGGAGAAGGAAGCAGATAAAGAAGAGGGAAAGAGAAGAGAACAGGAGAAGAAAGAAAGGAGAAGGAAGGACACAGATAAGATAAAGAAGAGGGAAAGAGTAGAGAAGGACGAAAGAGAAGAGAACAAGAGAAGAATGAAAGGGAGAAGGAAGGTCGCAGATAAAGAAGAGGGGAAGAGAAGAGAACAAGAGAAGAATGAAAGGGTGAAGGAAGGACGCAAATAAAGAAGAGGGGAAGAGAAGAGAACAAGAGAAGAATGAAAGGGTGAAGGAAGGACGTAGATAAAGGAGAAGGGAAGAGAAGAGAAGAGTATGGACGTCAGCGCCGAACGTGCAAAGGCGATCGTGACGTAATGGAAGGAAACGCGGGACGGAGTGTGCGCCGGCGGTGACGTCATCCGAGCCGGGCGCCGTGACGTCATCGTGGGAGCTGTCTTGACACCTGTGATTGGACGCCACCTGTAACGCGTGGCTGGGGGGGGTGGGGATGGGGATGGGGTGGAGGAGGGGAGGGGGGAGTATTGGGTCTCTAGGTTTGTGGGTCTGGTGTTTGTTTGTTTGTTTGTTGTGGGTGTGTTTGTTTTTGTACTTTTTTATTTTTGAGTGTGTGTGTGTGTGTGCGTGTAAGTGTGTGAGTGTGTGTGTGTGTGTGTGTGTGTGTGTGTGTGTGTGTGTGTGTGTGTGTGTGGTGTGCGTGT